CAGTTTCTAACCTCACCATTATCAGATTACAAGACTACTCATTTCACTCGACAATTAATTTCTGACCGTTGACCATTCCAGCAACCTGTAATCATCAGCAGAACATTACCATGGATTTGTTGCAATCACAAAGATTGACGGCGTTGCCTTGGATTTCCATGAACACCAATCCACAAAGTGCTGGTAACAAATCACCCCAAAAATATTTCTACTACCCACTCACTCCTACGTTAGAAGGACCAAACAGTTCATCTGGCATGCTTTATAGAAATTACACGACAAATTTTCAAAAAAGATCATCTCACACGATTTGATTATTTCCATTAAAAAAACTCGCTCAAGAAGAGGAGTCGTCGTTAACACACACACACACACGATGACAAAGAAATAACTTAAAACAAGGACCCAAGAATTAAACCTCAAGAGTAATAGTCGCTAGTTTTGTAAGCTGATGCAACCAATAAAAATACTAACAATCCATGAAAAAACAACAGGATACATCTGGATATTGTAAAACCTTCAGTGGAGGCGCATCCAAAAAATCCACATTCTCCAGCATTCAACTTTTTAGCTTCTGAAAGGGATGTAGTTTATTGCTTCCCACCACCACCACCAAGTTTCGGGCCCCTTGTAGCCTTTGGTCCACTACTTGTCTGGGCTGTCTTCTGAGTTCTAGCCATCAGCTCAGCCTGCTTAGCCTTTCTTTTCATCCTTGGTCTTCTTTATTCTTTCCTTGATTTCTCTATATAAAAAAACAATCTTAGATTCAACGCTTGAATAGGATATCATATATTCATACTTGAACAAACACTAAAGATGCCGATGACACATCCAGAAGAGCCCAAGTTCCACCGATCCAATAAGGTGAATTAAATAAGACAGTAGTACAAGGATGGCACATGAAAATTATATTCAAAACAAGAAATAGTGATTTGATGGATCATAATCTAACTGAGAATTTTTCTGTCGACAGAGCTCAGCGGCAAGAAAAGATCCATGAGCCTGATCCCAAATAGTTAAGAACTTATAGCATAATTGTTAACTCTTGATTGTGACACTGAAATGAAAACACTTTGAATTGGAAATGGAAATTCATTTCTATTGACACGGCCACACAGTTAACAAGCAAAGAAAAATGATATATAAAATGCTTAAGATGTAAGTTTTAAAGACTAACTTTTTTGTTAAGCAAATTGTTTCTGTCTAAATAAAACAAAAACAGCTAATCATGTAAAACTATACCTGAGTGCTGCTTCCCTAGCAGCATCACGAACTTCAGCCTTCTCAGTTCTCCTCTTCTTAATGACTTCCAAAGTAGCTTCAACAATGGACCTTGAATGGTATGACGTCTTTTCTTGACAGCTTCAGCATGAATATCCTAAAAAAAACATAAATTTAAAAACAATAAAATTTCCTACAGATGCATACATCATGCACAAAAAATCAATAGAAACAAACTAATGCAATTACAAACTACTGATGTCATAAAGAACAAACAAAACAAATTAAATAAAAAAACCTTATTAGCTTATTTATTTGGTTTAAACTACACTAGCAGAACAAAATACAAGGTTGCAAAACCCTTCACACAGTTTTCACTTATTGAACAAGGACTACAGGTGTATACACAGCAGTCAAATTTTCTCTTCAAGATCTTCCAAACCTTCACACCAATCATATAAAACAAGAAGAGAACTTTATATGAAACAAGTTCCCACGCACAAAATGCAAACTAAAATGTGCATACAAAAATCACTTATGATATTCCACCCCAAGAAGAGAACAATAATGGCACTCAAACACATCAAAATAATTCAAATATGGTGTAGTCTCCAATATGCATGTTCACAAGTATGGTAATACTATCTTTATCACAAGAGAGTTGAACTTGCGAAAACAAAACACACATGATGTTCAAACCTAAGATGGAAACAACATGAACACTCAAACAGTTCAGCATGGAAGATTATCTTTATTTTAAGATATGTTAGAACCCATGTAAACATAGATCATTATATAAACAATTATGTAGTATCCCTTAGGAGTACACAATATAACAATTTGTGTTTAATAGACTTCTAATAGTCAGCCAGTAAAATTATACCTTTTGTGCTGTTTCCTGTACATTGCTGTCCAGGTAAGCTTAGCAGGCTTCAGACAGTTGTGGAAGCACCGCTTGCATTTTGAGTTGGCCAAAAGAAAAACCTGCACACAAACAGGGAAAGTTAGAACTCTCACCACTACACTGCAAGAAACAAACTCCATCTGTAAGATTTCAAATAATCAACAGGGGAATCAGACCGGACAAATCTAATACCATTTCCTGGGTATATCTTTGCACCACTAAAACGGCAAAGCTCAGTCCTGCCGAGCAAAATAATAATTAGCTGACATTAAAACATCAACCAACACAATATTGCTAGTCCTAAACAGTGATATTTCACAATGGTCCTCATGACAGTTAACATTGATTTAAGTTCAAATGTTCTGATTATTACAAGTTATATATATGATAATAACATGAACAGCATATCTTCACGTATAGAACTATCAGCAATATACAAACTACACAATTATTAACAGCCTTGTCCATGCTGTGCTGTGTAGTGTCTTGATCTCTAAAGATTACTCATGGCAGCGTCTCAGTGTCACTTGTTTGTGTATGTGCTTTAAAAAAAAAAAAACTTGGTGATTTTAGTAGATGCCTATCTCAAGAAACTACAAATTATAGGTTTTTAGCCATGTTATTTGGTGACAAGCAAGTCCAAGATAAATAAGGGCTTCATAAAATATTTGTGGTAAATGATTCTTATGTAAATTTAAATTAAAAAAAAAACTTCAGGAACAGTTATGCGATAGGCAACATACTTGAGAACCATCTTCTTGTGCGCAAGTAATCTTCAATCTCTCACCTGCACACATTTCCAGAAACTCAGAGGAGCAAATAGGAAAGAAAGAAGCAGAAACAAGAACCCTTGGAGGGAACCAAGAATCAATAATCAATTATTCATAAGTGCTACAACCACAATTGTCGATCTGAATTCAAAATTAACCAACAAATCATGGTGTTAAAAATATAAAGATATTGGGTTGTTACAGGCAGCACAAACGCAGCTGATTTGTGCTGCAAAGCGTAAAGCCTTCTTATTCTTGCACAGACGGATTAGGCGACCGGACAATGGAACTTGCACGGGGCCTCAGTACATGTGCACCTCTTCGACAACACGTTGATGCAATTTAATGACAACTTTACATAAGGCAACCCAACAATACATGCCACCATAAAGCCGTAGCCTCACAGTTTTGCTAGGCCACAAAGCGAAGCCAAAGTCTGCAAATAATCATAAAACTTGAACCAGTTAACGCAGACACACTATAAAAACAAGTTCAAATGATGGCATAAACCCTCTAGAACCCTAGCACACTCAAAGATTCTCCTTTGTTTCCGAGGTTCATTTAACCCACAAGAATGGATCTTTCGGTGAATAATGCCATGGAAGAAACCCCTCGACACGAACAATCAGAAAGGCTACTGTTCAAAAGAAATGTCGCCCTTTTTGTTGGATAACACAGAAATGTCGCCCTTTCAATTCGAGAAACAAACAGATCGTGCGATGGAAACAAGAATGGCGGACGAGAAGAGAGAGAGAGAGAGAGAAGGTACACTCGAGAAAACCTAGCACGAACCCTCGGAAAATAATGCCATGAAAAAGAACCCCTTCAAAGGCAAGCTCCGAGCAGTAATTCTACTTCAAGAAACTAATTCTTTACCGAATCAGTTCAAGAAACAAAAAGATCCGTGTGATGTAAACAAGAATAGGCGCGCAAGAAGAGAGACGAAGAGAACGTACCACTAGAAGAATTCTAGCCGACGAGGCTCCGCCGCCGAGAGCGGGTAGATAAAGGGAGAGAGAACGTACCCCACGAGAAACCCTAGCCGCCGAGGGTCGGAATTTAGTTAGAAGCCATTAGGGATCTCGCTGAGTTCTTCCGCAATCGATCGCAGCCGTTCGATATGCGCATTATTTCGTGAAGATATATGATCCCAACTGGGATCTCATGCCACGTTGATAAAATATTTTAAATCGCGTCTATTAGATCCGATTTAAAATCTCAATTGATATATATATATATATATATATTTTTTATTTTAAATATTACTATGATAATGATATATTTTTAATTATGTGTTATATATATTTTCAAATAATTATGTATTAGTGTATTATATATATTTTTAATATAATTATTTTTTAAAAAATAAAATAAAAAAAGATTATATATATATATATATATATATTTATTATATGTGACATCTCACACACATTTAGGTGTGCATAGTGAGACCCAAAAAAGCAATGGTTTCATGATCATCAACAACAACAACAACTTAAGATCATCACAAATTAGGTGAGCAGCTCAATCTGACAGCGCTCTCTGCGTTTTATATTCTTGGAATGATACATGTCTCCTAACTCAACCCTTGCAATCATCTCCTAATCGATAAGCACAAAAGTTGGTGATTGATGATGCATATGCCCCTCCCTGACTCGTTAACTAATACATATTGGCTCACATCCATGCGCATGAATCAATCATTTCTGAGGTCAGATCGGAATCGATCAACGCATCACACGTTGCGACTCCACTCCAACATCAGTCGTATCGTGCCACTGCCATCCTCAACCGTTGGATCAGTATCGGCGCTGGATGATCCGCTTCGTGATCCGTTCCCACGGGCCGACCGCCCCCGATGTCAGGTGCAGATCACGTGACGCCCGCCTTGCCCACGATAACAGCCAGAATCCATGGGAGGAGACATCGGCGTGCCATGTGTTGAATTATTTTACCTTGATCGTTATCGATACCCCGACCTTATCTTCTTTCCTACTGTACATTTTGGGTGGGCCCGGGTTTGGTTACCAATGAAAAAGAAGGTACGTGTCGAGTAATCGCAGGACAGGTATGAGAAAAATTTTTCTTCGCTTTGTTGTTCTCTTCCTCTGATTCCCCCGAGGGGAGGAGACCGACGCTTGTCATCATTAAAGTTCGGGCCTTTTCCGCTCCTGTCGAATCCCTCTCGCCACCGCAAGCAGCCCTTTTCCGAGCCCTAATTTCCGCCAGGTGATTAGATTTTCTTCCCGATCTTCTCACGGTCGCCCAGTTTTTTGGCCATTTTTTTTGTGATCCGACTAACTTTCTTGGGCGTCGTCGCGATTTGGCACCCGCTCGGTTCTCGTTCCCCCATTTTCTTTGCTTCTTTCACTTAAAAGGCTCTATATCTCCTGCTAATCCATGGATTCGTAGCTGGAGTTGCTGATCTATCCAATATTTGATCTTGGAGTTCGGTGTCTCCTCGTATTCTGGATTGCTTATTGATTTAGGTTATTCTTGTGTAGAATCGCTGTTTCGTTTACTGTTCTCGTGTGCTAAGTAAGGAGAAGTTATGCCAGTCCTATTCGTTCATGAGGAGTCCCTAGACATGTATGACCACGTTGAAAGCAAGTGATTTTTTTCCATATATGGAGCTGGAGAGTAATCCTGAATACTTTTGGCTTTCCTTTGATGTATAGAGCTGATTTGTCCTGTTTACTGCGATCGAAAGGCGTGGCCTTTGATGCTTTTTTCATGTAGAGTAAGGATGTCATAGATGATGCAAACAAGTTTTGTTGATGATATCCTATATCTTCACTATACTGTAAGATCAATTAGAATGATTGGTTTGAACTCTGATACTTTGTTCATCCCCACACAGAAATCACTTGGGTCAGTTTTCTAGATGCCAAAAGCTGCTTGTGAATGGTCAAGTTAATTCTTTTATCGTGCTGGTGCTCGAGGTGCTCAAATAGCTTTGCAAATATTTGGGTGACAGGTCCATGATAAACTTTAAATTTAGCCTTTAGAGTATACTCTTGACTAGCTTTTGTCAGTAGTGGTCTATCTTTTACTTATTAGAGTCCACTTATATTCGCTTCAGATTCTCCCTGCTGCGCAAGTGAAATTTTACTTGGTGTTACGTGAAGTTAGGAGGAGTAGCTATTCTTTTAAGCGTGGAAAGCAAAGTGTTGCACCTTATGTACAAGGTCACAGGTACACAAGTTGAATGTTATTATACAGCTTGTTTTTTCTGAATGTTTTTAACCTGAATCAGAATCTGAAATTAGGCAAATGAACAACTTCATGGTTTGAGGATCTGAGAAATCATCCTGTGTTAGAAACGCCAGTAGCTGTACTTTTGATTTGGATGGCCCTGCAAGTGTATTGTAGGTCAACAATTTAGGATGTTACTCAGGTGCTTTTATCAACATGTGCAGACATCAATGATTTGTAATTAGTTCCTGTCAAGAATCAAGCAGCTACTCTGTGTTGCTTCCATCAGATTTCACATAAATACATGAGATGGGTGCTCTTTGTTGTGTACCTGTTGGGCCACATGGACCGAAATCTAATACATCTGGAAGAGATTGTTCCATTGATCCAAGTGAACCTCACTGGCGGACCAATTCAAGCTACTCACCCCATTTGTCAAGGAGATGGGACTGCAGTTCTCAGTCGGATGAATTATCTAATAGAGTTCATGAAGTTCCTATTAGTGGATCTTCAATGTCTTTGCATAGTAATGTCAGACATATTGGGAGCAGTGACCTAAATCATCACCATTCTGTGTCTGATGGGGCACTATCTTATTCAGAGAGCCCATCTGACTATCTCCAGGCACGTCGATGGACACCATGTGTGCACAGATATGATCTTGGGGAGTTCTCTACACCTGCAGGAGGTAATATTATTTTGCATTACCTGATCACTGTCAGTCAATCTTATAAGACTCTTTCTGTTTACTCCCTTTTTTCCCCTTTCAGATAAGGAATCTAAAGCTTTAAAATTTTAATATTCCTAACTGTTTGGTGCTTTAATTTCTTTTGAAGTGCATGTTGTAAGGCAGTTGTGGTTGTAATTTGTAAGAACAGAATTAGGTGGCAAAAGAACCTGCAGGGTATCAGTACTTCTTAAAATTGACATGGCTATCCAAAATTTTTATGTACCATCCAGTGAAGATGTTAACAAACTTCTGGACAAGTTTGAACCTGCTTGAGATCAAACAAATTGTGTCATGGGTGGGGATGAAGGAAAGGGAGGGGAAAAAATAAAGTGAGGAGGGCTGGGGGGAGGAAGGGAGGAGAGAGATGATGGATGATAGATAGAGATGCAAAATGTAATACATGAATACATATACAGATGATCTCAATTGCCATAATTTTACGCGTGTGTTAAAAACTGTAATTTGCAATCTTGACAGTAATTTTTTTTTTGCATAAAATTATTTTAAGGTTTGAAGTTTGATTTTAAATGACAAATATTATGATAAGCAAAGAAAAGAGTAGATTGTAAAATTAAGAAGTGGCTACTGTTTTGGTATGGGAAGGGCCTATTTTTGATGTGCTTCTTAATTTTAATGAGTAATTTAGGTTTGCCTCGGCTTAAGCCTGTTGGACTTTACTTGGCAATTTATGTTGCTCCTGATTGATATATCAACCAAGGCCCTAGATATGAGTTTCAACGTTCAATCGAGAATTATACGGAAATTGAAAACAAACCTAGTTATTAATTACAAATACTTTAATTGTAGACTTGAAAGAACTGGAAATACTTGTAATCGTCTGCAATTCAAGTTGGCTGTATGCTTAAATTATCTCATGTACATAGGTATTCTAATTTTTTGTGCCACTGAAAGGAAGCCAAACGCTCTTTAGAGTGAAAAATACGACGTCTGTAATCCTTTAAGTTGCTTAGAATAATCTATTTTCTCTTTTTACATTGATTTATTTCAGTTACTGCATGGATCAAAAAGTGTCGTTACTAGATAGTTTCATAGAAAGACAATGGGGTAAAAGGTGCCCGGGACATTAGAAACGTGAAACAATGTGTTGCATGGTGAATAAAGGACAATAAGTATACTGACTTAAAAAGTAGCTTCACTTACCCGACCAATGGTTGGAGCAAATGCACAAGTAGGATGCATGTCTGAAAATGAATTGGACTCGCTTGTCGTGAGTCTGGGCAAAAACGTACTCAATCTGAAAATTTTGACCAATCAATCATACAGGAGGGTTAGAGGCACATAATGCATCTAAAGCTTGGTGGTTTCGAGACTGCAAAGAGGAGCGTGTGGTTCAAAAAGCCATGATCCTCATTCATGCCTTGGTTATTGGCTTAACTTTAACGGAACTATGTACTTGTGTAGAAGCTTACCTTCCTTTTCTGATTAACTCCAGAAATTGTTTGATTGCCAAGGTAACTGCTTATTTTCAAGAAACTCATTTAACTAATCTTCAACTCCTTCTGCATCATCAGGTGCAAGGCCTGAAGCTTCTGTCTTTTCCAGGGGCAGTGAGGTAACATTTTTATTCATATGCTTCATGATGTTTGTTTTTCTTTTCCTCAAAACCACTTTTTTTTTCACCATGTTTAAGTGATTGGTTGGCTGTAGATGATTGTAAAGGCATCCTTTTTCTGTTTTTCTCGGATGCAGGGAGGTTTCTCTGCTGGGAACAGTATCGGTTCTCCATTTTCACCATTAGAATCTAGTAGATGGGCATCCACCAGCAAGCAGCCAGCCTTCTTTCCCCGACACCTTCCCAGCAGGCGTTCATTCATGTCAAAACCCATTTATCCACTCATGTTTCAGAATCCTGTTTCGGAGGCTGATGCTTCTGGGATGGCTGAAGCAAGTACCAGTGGTTCGAGAATGCCACGTGAAGATAGTGGGGCTTCGCCCATGTGGACTGAGAGAATTTTGAGTTCTGAGCTTAAGTTCCAGAGGGCCCTAACCGACCTTCGAAAGATGGAGGCTTCACCAGACCTCAGCATGAGTTCGAGGAGGGAAGGATTTAGATGGAGTAATGCAAGCAGCTATGATTTTAGGTTTGATGGAGACAATGTTGATATCGCAGACACCATCAACGTCGAGAACCACAGATGCCCTAGTACCTCAAGATACCAAAAATGTGAACTGTGCAAGAGGTCACTGTACCAGAAGTCTCCGTGGAGTTCTAACCGGATTGTTAGAAGCACCGATATGCCAGTTGCTGGCATACTACCATGCCACCATGTTTTCCATGCAGATTGTTTGGAGGAGACCACTCCAAAGAGTCAAATTCACGACCCTCCATGCCCAGTATGTCTGAAAGCTGTTGGAAAAGAACAATCTACATCCATCTCGGAACCGCTTCATGTGGCTTTGAGGTCTGCTTGCAGCAGTCAGGGTGCAGGAGCGTCCACCGGTGCAGGTACTAGTGGCCACTCTATCTCACATCAGATCGAGAATGACTTGAGACGAAGCAGCTCTCTTGCGACCTCACAAAGGAGAGGTTCATTGTCGAGGAATCACAGCAAGAAGCGATTTTCCTTCAAAGGTAAGATAGGAATGGATCTCCTGGGGGCCAAAATGTTCAGGACTGGTCATTGACAACAGCAACCAATTCTAGACTGCATAGATCATTGAGTTGCAGGTCAGTGTTCCTATCTCCATTTTGTGGGTTTGTGGTTGATGTCCATGTACATTATTACGAACATAGAAATCTTGGGAGTCCAAATTTGAGGGCATGCCACACACAGTTAAATGACCAGTGTCACCCTTTCGCTCTGCTGCCACAGCTATGGACTGTTCATGTGCTTCCACCTGAAACATCACTGCTGTGTATGCTTTCTGTTGTATCAGGAACTTAATAACTGCATGAACAAAGAAGAATTAGATGACTCGATCTATCATTCGGCAATTCGTGGTTTGAATGCCATAGAATAGTTATAATATCCAAGTGAAAGAACTCGTGAGAGCTGCATCTTTTCTCATGTGCGCATTCTTCAAGTAAGCTCCTCTCTCTCTCTCTCTCTCTCTCTCTCTCTCTCGATCTCGATCGTGATTACAGTCGCCTTGCTTCCATGGTGATGAAAGGATTCACATACTTACATCGTCTGGGCTTCTTATTTGAATGTGATGTTGTTCTATTGTCAACCTGATATCGGATTGATATCGATACGAGTAAACGCATCTGGATCCAGATCCGCATCGCTCCCGAGGGCTTATCGGATCCGAAAGTGCGGGTTCATGCCAAGACCCGGGCCCGATTCAGGGTTATCGGGCCGTTTATAAACAGTAGGCCCGTTTCTAGGTCGGTGATTCCCGAAAACTCGATCTAAAATAGGCGGCACTGATGGTGGCGCGTTCATCTCCCGCTTGGGGGCGAACCACGTTGTCGATGCGCTCCTCTTGGCGGTGGGTGCTCTCCGACGGCGTCGATCCAAGAAGACCACGCAAACCCATTCTTGAAGAGGAGGCTCCAATGCTCTCGCGGTAACTTCTCTTCCTTCCTCTGTTCGAATCCGTTTGCCAGAGTAGCGGAATCACGAACATCGTTTGTGCAATTGGAGTCCCCGTGTCGAAATTATTCTAGATAAGGGCTCCAGCTTGATAGAGTTATGGAATGGTGTAGGATCTTCCCAGTGGCCACTGGCATAAGCAGAGCGCATGATGTTGTTGTGTATCTTCTAGATTGCAATAGTTTGATTTCATGCTATTCTCCTTTTCTTCTATTGTAAAACATTAAGTTGCAACATGCAATTTATACTTGTAATCTTATGAAGGGAACCAAATCCGACCCGATGTCTGATTTATCCACCTTAGTGACAGATCACTTTTATAGAACATGTATTTGTGGTTGTGTTGATTATGTTGTATCAGGTAAATCTTTCCTAGTCACCTACTTCTTCAATCTAGGTTGGTCACTATCTAGGTGGTCTACATGCATGAAATTGGATCTTAATTCTTTACTTCCGACATCTGAACTAAGATGCGTTCCTTCAGATATCATGGTAGAGGAGCGTAGTTCAGCTCCTCATTTTATAGGAGAATGATAATGTTTAATGCAGGTAAAGCAGCTATTCCAGTGCATAGGTTTATTCTTGTTCCTCTATGTTTTACATGAGAAGACCAAGGATGGTGCTTTTGTTATATAAACTTGTTCTTGTATGAAGGACCCAGTCGATTTGTGTGGGTTTTTCTTCGTTGACATTAAGCCCTCCTTTGTTTTCTTCATGTTTCAAATATAATACATGTCCAAATACATTAATAATTCTTCAGCTTTAGTGTCTCTTCTTGTTTAAAATGTCCTATTGGGGTATCATAATGCACACACAATTAAATCACAGCATCTTAACTGAGGTGATTGTTTCCAGTAAAAATGGGTCAAGAAGAAAACGAGAGAGAGAGAGTAATATAAAAATTCGAAAGTTAGTCATATTTTTTTATATAAGCTTGACCTTGAATGAATTGTTACATTGATTCAGTTCATCCATCTTCGCTGTCAGATTGCATGTTATGTATCTTAATAGATTTCAAGAAGATGTTCATTTAAGATTTTGTTATGATCTTGTCAGTCCTTATCTTTCCATTAAAAACCTTTCTGGGAGCTTGTTTGTTGTTTCTCTGTTATTAGGTTGGCATTATCATTGATGTATTCCAATGATCAAGGGCTTCCAAGCATGCTGACAAAGTTCAAATTTTTGGCTCCTTGTTGTCTATATGGGAATGGGAATATTTTATCATGACTTTCGTCTCATCCAATATTCGCTGGTACTATCTTCTCACTAAAACATCATTTGTCTTGTTTTTCCTCTTTTTACAGTCCCTCGGGTTTTACTGGAAACAGGAATATGATGCATGCCGATGAATCAAAGCATCGAGATTTAAATTAGGTTCATTTATTCCTTTTATTTGTAAATTTAATGGTTATTTCATGGTATGAGCATTTCTGCTTAAATCAGTTTCTTCATGCTTACGTTTGATCAATTTTTCATCCTCATCATGTTTATTTTAGTTGGATTTGAATGATGCTCAACCTCATGGACGTCCCATATAAGTTTTGGTACTATAAGTGATTCCGATAGACTTCTTCATAACAGTTATGTGCCCCAGAATTAGAACCTGCATCATTAGTTATTCTCAAGCATGGGTTACATCGTCTACTTTTTAGGACTGTAAGTTCTGTTTCTTTAGCCGCTGATAGGATGAGGTTCCAGCAACTACAAGAGACTTCAAAGCACTCCACTTGTTTGGTAAGTATCGAAGGTCGATAATTAATTATTAGGAAATAGTTGTGAGCCACCTAATCATGATACATTTTTTTATGTTCAGAGCAGACTCTTCAATAGACCGTAATGTTTGTGATAACATGGCATTTACCGACCAAAAGTGGCCAAATCATTCTGATGGTCAGTGGATGAGTCGTGAATGCCTGGTAGGCTTCTTGTGTGATGATATAAAGCAGTCCATGTACATTGCAGAAGGGAGAGATTCCAAGCCTGTTTTTGACACTTGGATAGTCTTTAATTTGATAGCATCACTTGCCAGTCCATAGATATTGTTTGTTTTGTAGATTAACTAGGGTGCTCTCCTAAAGAAGCCTTAAACTATAGCAATCTTCTCTCTAAGTCAACAATTGCTGCTTTCAGTTCACTCGGTGCTCTTTTTGTTATCAGATAAAGCGAGTCCAACATCTTTGTATAATATCAGACCTCCGTTGATGGCATTGTATCTAATCCAACACACTGCTCGAGTGGGTATGCTTTTGCATGGGAAAGCAGTTATCCTCTTGATTCTTTATAGATGAGGAACAAAAAAATAAGCAACAAAGGTGACATGCAAAGTTTGTGTGTGTTGTATATTAATCTGCTCCTGTCGTATTACTTCATAGCATTACTTATTTGGCCTATGCCACCAACATTCTTAGCTAATGCACTGACTGTGGACTTTAGGTTTCCAAGGAGGTGGTGGACCTTTACATGAGCTAAAGCAGGGAGGGATGCTCACGTTTCCTCAAACAACAGGACTGCCGAGAGACCCGACTGTTTTTTTAAGGTTCACGATTTTTTGTTGTCCGCTAATTTCCGAGAAGAGTTTTTGCTTCGTGGTTGATGTATTTATGGTCTACTGTGGTCGGACATAATATTACCTTTTGGTTTCTGTCAGGCACCATCCTTGCTTTGCTGATGATGCCAAACAGTATCGACATGTAGTATTGATCTCAGCAAGGAAAAGATCCACCTAGCTGCAGGAAGGTCAGATTTAAACTTTGTGCATGTTGCAGTCAAGGCATCAGTTCATTGCTTCCTACTCACTTTTGAGAGAAGCAAAGGAGAAGAAATGTCTTCTCCTTCCCACTGCCTGCAGCCTGATCCGTGTTGCAGCAGTCAGTAGCTTCCTTACCCGAGAGGAAGATTAAATGTTTGCACCATCAACACATTTAGCTGTAATTATGAACGTCGGGGGCCTTTTGTCTCTTGAATCATCCCCTGCCAGGCCCTGTGCCTCTGATGCCTTTATCACAGTGGGGTCAAACAAGTAACCATCATGACGAGCAGAGAAGAAGATAACAGTTGCATTCATTCTACATTAAGTTATATTTATTAGGGATGTCAGGGCCCAAAACACTCTAGGTTTAATTACTTCACGCAGGAATATGCATCACGCTCTCTTTGCTCTCCTTTCTCCTCTCAGCATTGGTTTAATTAGTTTGCTGCACATGTGTTCTTTCAGCCAGGTTTCTGTGAACTTCTCACTGGGATCAACTGTTCACCACCATGATTAGGGCTGTCAGTTTCACTACCTCTGAGCAAATCGGAAGAGGAGGATGACCGACACAAAAGGCCATTGCCTGTCAGCTCCTACAGATCCGGTACCAGATATAGGCAGTGGAACCGTGACCAACCCTAGGATTCTGTGTCAGATCAGCTACCAAACCTGCACCCTCACCCTTGCACGATGTGGTGTGGTAACACAAGCAGCACCCATTGCTTGGCCTGGGTAGCTAGCTACCACTGGGGCACTCGGAGTTCCAACGGGGAACGGTCTGCTTGGTTCCCAAAACCCTTGGGTGCTACTAAATCTCTCTCACGGGGGAGAGAGAGAGATGTCATTAGTGGTAGGTGCCTCCTTGCTTGCGAGGAAGCATTAATAAAATACACTAGTATTTTAGAGAAATTAAAAGTTCAAGCATGCCCAGTAGATCTTGGAAGAATTTTTCATTTCTTTGATTTTGATTGCCTTCCTTGAAATCTTGGTACAGATCAGATGATGCATCATATCATCTGGTTTAATTCGCATGTTAAAATGTTTTTTGAACTTGTTGACTGACAACCTTGAGAAGTCTGGCCTACTATGGATACAACTTCACCTTCACCCTCCTCTCTTCGTTTTGCAGGTCTCCTCTCTTGGTCCTGTACCACCAGCCTTCACAGATTTCCTGTGCATATCGCGTGGAGAGCCCCTATGCTCCAACACCCAGGAAATCAAAGAAGGGTAAGCTAATCTTCTCTTTCTCATAGGTTGTCTCACCGGAAGGCAAAGCATTGGTCATGTGGTAGGCCGCCGGTTCGTTTGCTGTGACCTCAAAAGTTGTACCGGTGCAGACAGAGAGATCAAACCCACGAACCTGCATCGTGGGAGCTCCAATACGGAACCCTGCACAAGCTAACCCAGATCATTCATTCAGAACAAAGGTGATACAGTGACACGGGAAGCCACCGTTCGTGAACAGATCATAGCAGTACCATTGGGCACGGTGACGGAGCCGAGGTAGAGGTCGGTGCAAGTGGAAGCAGTCTCCTCTCTGGTGGTGGTCGACTCACCACTGCATGCATTGTTGCAGGTGGTGGTGACCTCCTCCCACCTCGGGAGGGGCTGAGATGGGGGATAGCGGAGGGAGGGACGCTTCCGCCTCCTGTAAGTACTGGACTGCTTCTCCCTCTGTTTCCTGGCCATGATCACATGCCAATGGTTCTTGACTGCATTGTCTGTCCGGCCAGGGAAGAGCCTGGCGATCAGTGCCCATCTGTTGCCGTAAACCCTGTGCGCAGCCAGAAGCCTGTCTTCTTCTTCCTCGCTGAATGCCTTCCTGTTGATCCTTGGATCCAACTGGTTGAACCATCTCAGCCGGCAGCTCTTCCCTGCCCAATTCCAATTCCAATTCCAATTCCAGAGACAAGAAGAACCAAGTCAAAAAGAGGAAATCAGTTCCACACATCCACATTTCAATGGAAGGAAGAGAGGATCAGTACCTGATCTTCCCACTAGCTTCTCGGCGATCATGTTCCAGTTTTGAGGGCCATATAGAGAGACGAGCTCCTTGAGCTTCGCGTCCTCAGCCGGCCTCCAGTGGCCCCTGACACACAGCTTTTGCTGCCGTTCGCTCTCGAAGCTGTTGCCATAGCCACCACCTTCCTCCATCATGACTTGGTGGCTACTGCTTCTGCCCCCATGTCTCTCATGCTCCCCTGCCAAATCATCGAGTCCCCAGCATTCCCTCTCTCCGGTGGGATAACCCATGACACCAGGAAATCACCAAGGCTGGAAACAAAAAGATGAGAGGAGGAGTCGACCCAGCTTTTAGAAGATGATGGAGAGTTCAGACAACGCTTCTTGAAGGACAACAAAAAGAGGAGCAGCCTCGGATGGAAGCAAACCACGTCTCTCTCTCTCTCTCTCTCTCTCTCTCTCTCTCTCTTTCTGTATCCTTGTTTGTGTCTACGGGTAGGTTCGGAACAGAACCGCTCGTGTGGGTGTGGGTGTGGGTTTGGGAGTCGGAGCTTCTCATCTCCCCGCCCCCCCCTCCCGCACAGCTTTATATGCGTGAGAGCAGCCCCTGTCGCACTCGGCAGTGACATCGCCTTGCGTCCCCCACTGTTGTCGCTGCTTCACAGCCGCGGAAGACCACCAAAGGCGACAAAAAACAAAAGGCAATGGGCGAACGGCACAGTAAGCAATCGGCCACCTCCACCGTCTACTCACGACTTGGATTTTTACTGGTGGCTGTCTGTACTACTCCGCCGCCTTTAAAGCCTCTGCCCTCTGCTGCACCGCCCTCATTCTTATCCTTTCTTACGAGGATAAACACACTACCTGGTTCTTTTCAAAAAGCTTTATTTCAACCCGTTTTCTTTCTCTATTTTTTCTTTTTGAACTAATCACCCGAAAAACCTCCACCAGTTTCTTTCCCCAAACAAAGCCCAATTCAACTCTCTCTTCTTCGACAAATCAAACCTCACGTTTATCCTTTCGTTTATTATTGGGCATTACTGTTACCTGATAAAAATAAATAAATATTTATATTAATGAATCAAGCGTTAGTGGGGGTCCCACATATGTTGACAATAATCGTACCACCTGTTGACTCATATTCCTTATCGTATGCCAACCATCATGCCTTCTTCATTGGACACACTCTCCTTATCCTTCCCCCAACAAAACACCTCCACCTGCAACAGTACAGAATTCCACATATGAAAACCTTCCCTCGATCAATCACCAATATAGTATGCCAATGATCACATGACTCGAATGAAATGTCCATGTCACATCTCAACAATGAGAAAAAAAAAAACTGACGAGTAAAAATGCATCTAAATAAAATATGTTTAATATCATTAACACATATCATTAAACATAAAATATGTTTAATAATTTGGATTATTCCAATTCATAGGTAAATTGAGAGATTAAAAAAATAACAAGTGGTTGTCTTTTGGGGGTGGGAGAGAGAGAGAGAGAGAGAGAGAGAGAGAGAGAGAGAGAGAGAGAGAAATATATTCATTTGTTATCGAAAACCTTGCCATCATCCATCGTTAATAATAATCAAATCAAATTTCAAATCATTCATTGCATGCAAAAAGAGACTGTCAAAATCCAGTATCATACGGAGGATAAGAAATCTTCCGAGGGCCACTAGAAACATATTTAAAATACATCAGTGTGTTGTCTAGTTCATGCTTCCCACACTTTCCGTTTGTCTCTCTCTCTCTCTATGTCTCTCTCTCTCTCTCTCTCTCTCTCTCTCTCTCTTTCTCATTTGCCTTTCCAGAGTCAAAATTGACTGCTGACCAAAACTTCATACGTTGTCAAGAACATATCTATCTTTTGGCTACGATTATGGGAAAGAAAACCTTGCAACTCAATTTGATCGGCATGGCAAATACATTCTCCCAATGCTGTTATTTCAATCCCTTTACTTGTCGCACAACTTCATCTTGACCGAAACAAGAAAACACAACAATCATCCGTCACCATCGGCCACACATGAAACAAGTCATTGACTTTCCTTGCATGTCTTCTTCTCGCTCATTTAGTTCGTGTAGCGTAGGACATGGGTGTTTGAGTGTTTGATGGTGCATCTAAACCACCATGAATTTGTCTCCAACTATCAAATTGTGATACTTCCACCTCGATGTCTGTCCTTCCATGTCAACTTCCCTCCCTCCTTCCTTTTTGTTCCTATTACCACCAAGAAATTATTTTTTCTTCACCTTTAATTGGTCCCACTGCCTTGTTCCCCTTCTTCCCTTCTCTCTCTCTCTCTCTCTCTCTCTCTCTCTCTCTCTCTCTCTTTGATCTTTGATCTTTTGTGAGTTTGATTGACCATTTATTAACTCATAAAAAAAAATTTTTTTTTCGATTGCCAAGAATCTGCTGAAGTAGCATGTTATGCCCTATTGCTTAGCTTATGCTTATGTAACATGGGAAGTCTCAAGGATTCTCCTATGGCAATTAGTTGAGGACTGTGACATGCATGCAAGGCAGCC